AGAAATCTAACAAACAAATAAATAAATAAATAAATGGAAGTCCAGAGGCCGACGGTGACAAGCCCACCTCTGTATATACTTTTACCCTGACCTGGGTCGCTCAGGCTAGCCCGATTCCAACAGATCTAGGAAGCTAAGCAGGGTCGGCCCCGGTTAATATTTAGGTGGGAGACCGCCAAGGAAGTCCAGGGTTGCCACGCAGAGGCAGGCAAGGGCCAACCACCTCTGAGCTCATACCTTTAAAAAAACTCTGGGGCCACCATAATTCAGATGTGACTCGACGGCTAATAGTAACAATTTACCCCGATAACCCCAACCCATCTCATTGCCTGATGGACTAGGTTGAGTGATGTAACTAGAGATATCATTTTAGGTAATTAGTCGATTGATTCCTCGTTCCGCTTCTGTGTTGCTTGTGGGCTGCAGTAAAGATGGCCTGTCACGAGCTTGCTGTAAGCTTCTCCACAAATCCCCCTCCCTGGCAGTCTTGAAGCAGCGGCTGGACAAACCCTTGTCAGGGATGCTCTAGGCTGATCCTGCATTGAGCAGGGGGTTGTGGCCCCTTCCAGCTCTGTGATTCTGTGATTCATTACTGACATGAAGTACACTGGTTTGACCGCATGTTGTTGTTCAGTTGCACAGTTGAGTCCACATCACGCCAGGCCCTCCTGTCTTCCGCCATCCTCGTTGCATCGATGACACTGTCTAACCATCTCATCCTTTGCCGTCCCGTCTTCTTTGACCTTCAGTCTTTCCCAGCGTCAGGGTCTTCTTCTCCAGTGAGTGTTTTCTTCTCATTTGGGGGCCAAAGTATTTGAGCTTCAGCTTCAGTCTCTGGCCTTCCAGGGAACAGTCAGGGTTGATTCCTTTGAGGATTGACTGATTCGATCTCCTTGCAGTCCAAGGGACTCTCAAGAGTCTTCTCCAGCACCATAATCCCAGCACCTAGCCACCTGCTTTTCCTACATATTAAGTGAACCATGGCAGGTCCAAACAGCCAGTTCAGCAAGAGATTTGCATATGGAAAGTCCTTAAATAAAAGAGATTTATTCAGGGGGGGAAATGTGACTTCGGGCCTATCGAGACAAACATAAAGATCGTCTTCTCTCTTCACACTGTGGTTTTAGTGTAGAGCTCAGAGAACTGAGGTTACATTGCCGTGCCACTGAAGACTCTAGTAGCCTCTCCAGTTGTGGAGAACAAAAAGATTGCTCTGCATGAGTTGGCAGATGTGTCCGCAAAGCAGTCGAGGAACACCTGACTTCAAACAGAGCAACCTCTATCTTCAAGAGCACCATTCCTTTGAAAGCGGAATGACCTCACGCAGCTGGGGGAGGAAACACTTCTTAGGTTTCTTTGAAGTCCACATCGTTTTACAAACGTTCTTGTTGCAAATTTGGTAGGGCGCGTAAGCCTCTTCGTTTCTAGGAAAGGCAAGGTAAAAAGTTCTTTAAATATTAACGGCAGTGCATTTATTAGTATGAATTTTTTTCCCAGCTGTTGAAAGTATCTCCCAAAAGAGAAATTATGATTTTTTTTCTTTTAAGTCATAACTAGTCAGGATAAACCGTGGTTTCTGACCTAGATATTTCAGAAGGGAAAGCAGTGATTATGTGGAGATAAAAAGGTGGAATTTTTTCTTTATTCATTGACAAGGAGTAATAAGGTTTGGAAGGTGTACAGGTGTCAGCAACCTGCAGAGAAAAATGTTCTGCCAGTTTGGTGTAGTGGTTAGGAGTGTGGACTCTAATCTGGGAGAACCGGGTTTGATTTCCCACTCCTCCACATGCAGGTGCCGACGTGACTTTGGGTCAGTCACAAGTTCTCTCAGAGCTGTTCTCTCAAGGGCAGTCTTCGAAAGAGCTCTCTCAGCCTCTCTCTGCTGTGGGGAGGGGAAGGGAAAGGAGATCGTAAGCTGCTCTGAGACTCCTTTGGGTAGTGAAGGGCGGGGTATAAATCCCATCTTTTCTCCTCCTCCTCTTCTTCTTCTTTAAAGAAGTTTAATATGTGGAGATGGGCAGCTGAAGATTTCCATGACACAGGAGTAGAGAATACCACTTACACATGCTAAATAATGAAAGGGATCTAGGCGTTCTGGTTGATCACAAGCTAAACATGAGCCTGCAGTGCAATGTGACAGCGAAGAAAGCTAATGCAGTCTTAGGATACATGAACAGAAGCTTTGTGTCCAGATCACGGGAGGTGGTAGTTCCGCTCTATTCTGCTGTGGTCAGGCCTCACCTGGAGTTTTGGGCACCACATTTGAGGAAGGATGTTGACAAGCTCGAGTGTGTCCAGAAGAGGGCAACCAGGATGGTGAGAGGATTGGAATCCAGGTCTTATGGGGAAGGGCTGAAAGAGTTGGGTATGTTTAGCCTGGGAAAGAGAAGGCTTAGAGGGGACATGATTGCAGTCTTCAAGTATCTGAAGGGATGTCCTGTAGAAGATGGAGCAGATGTATTCTCTCTTGCTCCGGATTGCAAGGTGGAAATGACAAGGGAGTCGTTACCGGCTAAATATCAGGAGAAACTTCCTGTCAGGGTGGTTGAGCAGTGGAACAGACTGCCTCGGGAGGTGGTGGGTACTCCTTCGCTGGACGTTTTCAAGCGGAGGCTGGACGACCATCTTTCTGGTATGTTGTAGGGCTATCTTTCGGCTATGCTCCTGCAGAGTGCAGGGGTTGGACTAGATGACCTGCAAGGTCCCTTCCAACTCTAATATTCTATGATTCTGTGATTCTAATACACTTTCAATCCACTTTGCAAGTGGATTTTGCAGTGTGAAATGGCAAACGGTTGCCGGAGTGTATTAAAACTCCATTATTTAGCATGTGTGAAAGTGTCCCTATTCGATGACATCCTGTTGCACTTCTGGTAAAAGGCGGGACATATTTTGTCCAGGTTGTTGCCAACTCCAGGAACATGGAAGACTTTTTTATCACAAGTTAAATAGTGCACAGTACTTATTCATGGGACAACAAGTATGAGCAGTTGTACTGGCCTATGCGAGATCCGAAACAGAACACCGGATCCATGGAATACCTTCCATTAGGCCCAACCGAAAAGGTATTACATGAATTTTGTGTTTTGTTGATGGGGGGACCTGAATTTAACAGTTCCTTGAATATAGTTCCGGAGTGTAGCCGTGTCGGTCTGCAGTACGACAACTAAATTCGAGTCGAGTAGCAGTTTAGAGACCAACAAGATTTTGAGGGTATCAGTTTTCGAGCGTCAAAGCTGCATTAATCAGTTCCTTGACTCTATCTCCCAGTTGGGAGGCGTTTTCTGTTTTCAAATACCTATCGTGGTAGAAAGATTAACGTTGGGTCGTAACTTCGTATGCTATTTTACACCCCTCCCCCCCTGAGTTTTACGCCATGTTCTATTATATTGTGAGTTTATAATATAAATGTGTTTAATCATATATTATTAGGTATCGTATTATTGTATTTATGTTTTAGAAAGTTTTTGTTATGACGGTACCTGCTCTGAGCCTGGACAGAGTGAGAGTGGGATTTTTGTTGTTGTTCAGTCGCACAGTCGAGTCCAACTCTTTGTGACCCCATGGACCACATCACGCCAGGCCCTCCTGCCTTCTGTCATGCTCCAGACTTTGCTTAATTGTATGTCCATTGCCTTGATGACACTGTCTAACCATCTCATCCTTTGCCGTCCCCGTCTTCTTTGACCTTCCATCTTTCCCAGCATCAGGGTCTTCTCCAGGGCGTGCTCCCTTCTCATTGGGTGGCCAAAGTATTTGAGCTTCAGCTTCAGTATCTGGCCTTCCAGGGAACAGTCAGGGTTGATTTCTTTGAGGATTGACTGATTTGATCTTCTTGCAGTCCAAGGGACTCTCAAGAGTCTTCTCCAGCACCATAATTCGAAAGCATCTATTCTTCGGCACTCGGCCTTCATTATAGTCCAACTCTCACAGCCATACAGGAGACAAATCCAATAAAATAGAATAAATAAATATTTTGATTTTCTCAGGAGTAAAACTAGTGAATAGTCTCGAACAGGGCTATTTTTGGGCAGGAACGCACAGGAACGGAGTTCCGGGTGGCTCCCAAGTTGGCCACGCCCAGTAGGAACTCATTAGCATAATAGGCCACACCCAACAACAGAAATTCATTAGGATTGGCTACATTAGGGGTGTGTGGCCTAACATGCAAAGGAGTTCCTGCTACAAAAAAAGCCCTGGGGTTTGACAACAAACAAGGTAAACAGAATAAGAAGCAAAAGGTGGGTGTGGCTGGATGACCACACTTCTGGTAACATGGGGGTGCGTCCTAATGTGCTAATGAGCTGTGATGACAGGGTTGTGGCCTAATATGCTAATGAGTTTCTGCTGTTGGGTGTGGCCTATTATGCTAATGAGTTCCTGCTGGGCTTTTTCTACAAAAAGAGCCCTGGTCGAACAAGCGACTCATTGGTTACTACTGACTGAGGGTGTTTGATCACTGATTCATTCTTATTTGTTATATCACTATAGAAGGTAGAATGTACAGAACCAGCCTATCCTGGGCGATGGCCTAGGGTGCCATAGCTGGAGGGGCGTCCAAAGGCTCTGACGCCGGATAGACAGGCCAGCCCTCCCACAGCTTTGGGTGCTGCCTTCCCTGGGCTGGATGCAACTTACCTGGGCCAGGTAGGACCGCAGCTCTTTGGCATCCCCACCGATTCAATACTATCGAATGTGGGGTTTGGGTGCTTTCACATGGACCGAATAATGCACTTCCAGTCCATTTTCAGTGCACTTGGCCACAGGTTTTTAGTGTGTGAAATGGCAAAATTTGCAAACAGTTGCTAAAGTGGATTGAAAGAGCGTTTATTCAGCACGTGCGAAAGCGCCCTAAAGTCGTAATTTGTCTCGGGTACCAAAAACTCTTGGACCGGCCCCGAGGATGTAGCCGGTTAGGTTAGTTTGGATGCAGATATCAAAGTGTAGCATTGAATGACACCGCTGATTCTGTGTGGATTTAAATCTTCAATGTTTTGTAGGACTGAGCTTAGCGGCTTTCAAGAGGAACAAGAGGAAACTGGAGTTAGCTGAAAAGGTGGAAACGGATCTTTTTCAGCTGAAGAAAAGACGACAATCAAGTGAAAAGGTCAGTTGCTGTTCAGAAAACGGTTAAACCCACCACAGCTTAACAGAATTCCAAGGTCAAAAATTGATAGCATCGGAAGTTCTTACCTCTCATGTAAATGGATAACCCGATGAGCTGTAATGTTCTTTGAAGTTTAACGGCCACGATCAAGAAGGACCCGCATCTGCCACAAGTGTGTATATATGGGTGAGTGTGTATTTGTGTGTATGTGTTATTTTTTCTTCTCTAGTGCCAACTCCTTCCTTTTAGCGGAATTCAGTCCCGGCATTTGGGGAGAACTGCTAGAGGGGAAGGCAAACCAAAGTCCCTGAACGTGTAGGGTAGATTGTATGTTGTTCTTTGGGTACAGGCAGTCTGTTTAATGGCTTGGGTACTAAGGTGCCATTTCGTCTAACTCATGCGATGGCATGGCCGTTCCATCTGCAGAGGTGGTTAGGAAGTATCGGGTTAAACGTAAAAAAATCAGTTGCCTTGGAAGCTCAGAAGCTTCTACGCAGTATCCCCCATCCTCCATGTTTCCCGGTTAAGGAGGAAACGCCGTTCCGACAAATTGCAAAGAGAAAGAAATTTTACTTGGAAAAATAGAGGCAGGTCTTACGTGACACGTTCATGTAAGTATATTTAACTTACTGCGAACAGATTGACTTCAGAAAGGTTAACTTGCTACCAGTGTTCCCTCTAAGCTGAGTTAGTGTGAGCTAGCTCGCAGTTCTTTAGCCTCCGGCTCAAACATTTATGCCTTCGCTCAGAAAGGATGGCTCCAGAGCAAACTAATCTATGCAGCAGCCCAATCGCTCGCTCACCACTTTAATGCCAGTAGCTCACAAAGCAGAAGTTTTGTTCACAAGGCTCCACAGCTGAGAAGGGAGCATTGCTTGCAAGCAGTGTTCCCTCCAAGCTGCGTTAGTGTGAGCTAGCTCGCAGTTCTTTAGCCTCCGGCTCAAACATTTATGCCTTCGCTCAGAAAGGATGGCTCCAGAGCAAACTAATCTATGCAGCAGCCCAATCGCTCGCTCACCACTTTAATGCCAGTAGCTCACAAAGCAGAAGTTTTGCTCACAAGGCTCCACAGCTGAGAGGGAGGATTGCTTGCTCCAGCTCCAAGCTCAGGGAAGACAGCAAAGCAGAGAGGGTCCTACATAAGACGAAACGCAGAAGGCCAGGAGGAGCCAAAGTGGCTTAACATGGGACTGGTGAGAGGGTGGGGGGCGACTGCCAAGGGTGCCCCAGTGAGGGGATTCTCTGAACCCCTTCCCTCCCAGATCCTGTTGCAGGCAGTTACAGTGTCCAACGGGAAGGTCCTTCCCTGTTTGCCCCTCCTTTTGTGGACTTCCCATTTAATTCTCCACGCTGTTCCTCTAAACACCGTTTCAGGGGGCCACAGAAGGTTGTGGTGTGTCGGGAGGGGGGGAGGAAGGGAAGCATAAAATTCCAGTCCAGTAGCACTAGAAGACCATAAGAATTCTCCAGACCATGAGCTTTCATGAGTCATGAGGCGGAAAACAATGTTGGTCTGGAACAGGCTTCCTCGGGAGGAGGCGGTGGGCTCTCCTTCCTGGGAGGTTTTCAGACAGAGGCAGCAATGCGGATTCTGTGAACGGAGGCAGATCGTGAGAGGGGAGGGCGGGAAGGGTTGCCTCAGTGCTTAGTTCTTGTGGTCCTTTTTTATACGCCCAGGGAGATGCCTATTGCCACTTTGGGGTCCGGAAGCAGTTTTTCTCCAGGCCAGTTTGGCTGGAGATCCTGGAGGGTTTTTTTTTTTTGGTGTGTGTGTGTGTGTGGGTGGGGGTGGGTCTTTT